GCTTCAACAATTTCCGGCCAAGGAAAAACTCGCCGAAGGAGCCGCTGCCGAGTTTTTTGCCCAGTAAGAACCGACCCGCGACGCGAATCTCCATACTACATGCAGTATTTTGTTTTCGAATCGGCGGCAGTCACTGTACAGTAGCTCTTGCAAATTAACGAACGTCCGAATTTCAGGTAGCTGAAATATTAACGCACATAAATATTCACATGTATTTGCTTTAATCTAATGGTGCTTCGGTGTTCGGTGCGCCTTACGCCGCGCCGCGCCGCCGGCGCGCTTTCTTAATATTTGAATAGCCGAAATTCTATTTTGCAGAGATGAGTAAACGCGGCGTGCCCGTCGAGCTGCCCGCGCCCGTCTTCGCAGCCGTCTTCACGCAGCCGCCCGCCGAGCCAGAGCAGCTTTTCGTCGGCTGCGTCGACGGCTCTCTGCACGCGTAAGTGGCTGCGCGGCGTCTCTCAGCGTCGGTCCGGACAACGACGTGCGCACGCTGCCCGCGCACTGCGCAGCGGCCGTCCACCAGCTCGTCTCGACTTCGCGCTACGTGTTCTGCGCGGCAAGCAACGGCGCGCTGAGCGCACTGAGCTTCGCAGGCGAGGAGCTGTGCTCGCTCGACACCGGCCGCGCGCAAATCACTGCGCTCTGCGCGCTCGCGCCCGACACCGTCTGTCTCGCGGCCGAGGACGCGACACTACTCGTCTACCGCCTGTCCGCCGGACCCGCCGCGCAGCTCGCGCAGCTCGCTGCTTCTAGCGAGTGCGCGGACGTAGTCACGGATCTCGCCTACTGCGACGGCACGCTGTTTGCGGCAAACGCGAACCAACTTGCGGTCTTTAAGTGGGACGGCGCAGCGCTGCAGCTGGAAGCCGTTTCCGACGAACTCGACGAAGAGATCTTGGGGCTGTTGGTCGCACCCGCGGCGAAGAAAGTCGTCTGCTGCACCTCCGTGGGGCTCTGCTACTTCGGCTACGGAAACTACGGTTTCTATCAGAACAAGATCACCGAGTTTGGCGCGCCTGTCAATGCGCTCGCGCCGCGCGCTGCGGACCGCTTTATCGCCGCGACCGAGAGCGGCGAGATCTGGCTGTGCTCGTACGACCCGTTCCGCGCGGAGAGCTGCGTCGCGCAGCCTGCGCCGGGCGCGGACTGCACCGTCGACTGCGTGGCCGTCAACGCGACGCGCGACTGCCTGGCGTACTTCGAAATCTGCGAGCCGAAGGTATGGAAGCTGACGCTAGGCCACGCGCGCGGCGGAGTTACCAAGCGCAAGGCGCAGGCAGACCCCGAGTTTTTCGCAGATTTTTACAACTAGTGGGCGCGCCGGGCGCGCGGAAAACTCGATGCGCCATGTGCACGCCGCAACCGCGCAACCAGCACTCCGCGGCTTGCGACGGAGCACGCGGAGTTCGCGCCCAAGCTCCCGCTGCGCGCAGACTCCCGCGCTCTAATCGGCCGCGAGCGTCGACGCGTCGCTGAAGATTTTGAGCCGCCGGATGTGGCTGTCTTGGCCGTTCTGCAAGTTGCCGAGAATCTGCAACTGGCAGCAGCAGCACTCGAAGCCTTTGCAGTCGCCGCTTTCGCGGCTCGCGGCAGCACCAGTCTCGCCGCCGGCGGCTTGCGCCGGCGCCGCGGCAGCCGTCTCGGAGCATGCGCGTAGGAACGAGTCTTTGCTGAGGTCGAAGTTGATCCAGCCGTGCGCGCTGATGAGGTTGTCTTGGTACACCGTCTGCGTGCGCTCGGACGCGACTTACGGTCAAAAAGTCGGGGTGGTCGCCGACGCGGATCGCGATTTTCGCAGGCGTGTACGAGTCGTCTAGTTTGTGCAAGACGTAGATAGCGATGCGACGCACGGTAGTGCGCTGCGCGAAGGTCATCGTGACGAAGTGCGGCGACCAAGAGTAGCTCTGCCAAAACGTCGAGAGCTCGTCGTCGAGGATGTCGCTCACGGCTGTGCCCATCTTTACCGAGGACAACTCGAACGTCGCGCGCGCCGTGACATCTACTAGTTCGAGCATGGCGATCAAAATTCAGCGCGCAGCTATTTTCGACAATATCGAAAATATTTTCGCCGGCCTCTCTGAATGCATGTGCTGACTCTCGTCCTGGACGATGTGGCGAGGTCTCCGCGCATTTTGGCCCACGTCGCTGCGGTGGTGGGGCACCAGGGCATGCAGGCCACGCTTGCGGGCTACCACGTGAAAAACTGCGCGCTGGCGCGCGCGCCGAAGGCCTTTAACACGATCGAGATTCCGAACTGCGACCGACTGAAGAACTGCGAGAACATGGCGTACTCGCTGCTGCGCTCTGTGGTGCCGGACCGCTTGTTGGTCGCCTACGCGACGCTCGTCTCGCTACTGTTCCGGCTGCTGTACGTGGTGCGGATCGCGGCGTTTGCGCCGTACGACATCATGCTGGTGCAGAGCCCCTCGACCTCTTACTTCTTATTTTGGCTGTTCCTGATCACGCGACTGCGCAGCAAGAAACTCGTGGTCGACGTGCACAAGTTCGGCTACGCGAAGATGCGCGTAAACGGCGCGCCGGCCTGGCTGGTCTACTGCTGCAAGCTGCTCGAGTGTTTCCAGTTCCAATTCGCGGACCACTTGCTGTGCGTCTCGCAGAGCATGAAACTGCAGCTGCTCGCCGTGAAGAACCCCGCGGAGATCACGGTCTGCTACGACCGGCCGACGGCCTTTCTGCCGCCGCTGAGCGCGGAGCGCCGCCGCGTCTTGCTGCTGCGCTACATCTACGACCCACAGATCTGTCGCTGGCTCTCGTTCAAGAGCTTCAGCAGCAGTTTCGCGGACTCGTTCGTGCTTGCCTCGCCGAGTTCGTTCACGCGCGACGAGAGCCTCGAGCTGCTGCTCAACGCGCTTTACGACTTGCAGGCCGCGTCACTGGACGTGCGCCTGCTGCTCACGGGCGAGGGCCCGGAGCGCGGCGCGGCGGAGCGCTACGCGCAGAAGTTGCGCGTGAACGCGCACTTCGTCTTCGTCGAAGCGACGGACTACCCCGCGGTGCTGCAGCTCGCAGACCTCGGCTTGTCGATGCACTACAGCGCGTCCGGGAGTGACCTGCCGTACAAGCTGTCAGACTTTTTGGCCTGCGACTTGCCGTGCCTCGCGTGGAACTACCACGCGATCCACGAGGTACAGGACCCGCTGATTACGCACGTGAACGATTACGACCACTTGATCGCGCTGATCACAGAGCGCTATCACGCGCGGCGCACGCCGTCGACACCGCGTGTCGCGCGCCGAAAAACATTTACAGAGGAGTGGGACGAGAAGGCGCTGCCGGTGTTCAGTCGGCTGCTAAAGTGAGTCGCGCCGCGAGGCGAAAACCACGTCGTCGCGCGTTACGCCGCACTGCGTCCAGCTGTCGAACAGCAGCTCGAGCGGCGGCAGCGCGTCGCGCGCCGCGGGTGCAAGCGCCGCGGGCAGCGGCTCGCTCTCCAGCGCGCCGGCGGCGCCCGCGCGCGGCTCGGCGCCCGCGGGCGCTCGCAGCCGCGCATGCACGGCCTCGAGCTGCGCATCGCACGCACCGAGCCGCTGCAGCATCGAGCGGTAGCGCATTTCCGCGAACTCCAGCTGCACGACTGCGGTGGCCGGCTCAGCTTTGCCGCAGACGCCATCGCGCACGAGCTGTTGCGCGACCGCGCGCACGTCCGGCTCGACCCAGCGCGAGAACGCAGCTTCGAGCAAGTCGAGGTCGTCGTCGATCACAAGCAGCTGCGCGTCACGCTGGTGCTGCAGCACTCGGTCGCGCTTCGCCTCTGCCGCCGCCCGCGCCGGGTCCGCGAGCTGCGCGCGCAGCAAATCTGCGCCGCAGTGCGCGCAGCGCGCCGCGAGCTCCGCCTCGCAGTGCACATAGCCGCAGCGCACGCAGTTCAGGTAGAACGCATGTTCGCGCCCGCCGCACCCGCACGCGCGCGCGTTGCGCGCCTGCGCTTCCTCTGCCGGCGCAGCGTCGTTCGCGCCGTTCGCGTCTTTCACGTCGTTCGCGTCTTTCGCGGATTCATCGGCCGACTCGTCAGCGGAGTCGCCCGCTGCGCCGCGCGCGGGCAGCAGCAGTCGCGCCTCTTGCGCAGCGTAGAGCTGCTGCGCGTCGACGCCGGTGCTCGCAGGCGTGTCGTCGCCGGCGCTCGCAGGCGTGTCATCGCAAACGTTGCGCGGGTCGCACCGTAGTGCCGCGCGCACCGCCAGGAAGCGCCGCACGCGCGCCGCGTCAGGCGGCACCAGCGCAAGCTTCGCGAAAAACTCGAGCAGCGCCGGCTCGTCCGCGCTTTCGGCAAGCACCGCCCACTCGGAGCTCGTGAAGCCGTGGATCTGGTAGCCGACCAACGCGGCGATTTCCTCCGTGAGCAGTGTGCGCCCGCGCGCACTCAGGGCGCTCATGGCTCAACACAAAATAGTTTTAAAAGCCGGCAGCATTACGAAATTGTTTTTTTCGCCGGCGAGTTCCGCCCCCAGCTGCGGTAGCAACTTGCCCAGCAGAAAGCACGTGGCCTTCATGTCTTCCACTTCCTGCCGCGGTTTCTTGAGCGCCACGAGCGCTGCCGCGGCGACCAACATGCGGTCGAGCACCGCGGGCAGCAGCTGCGGCAGCTCGCTGAACGCGGGCCGCGCCAGCAGCGCGGCGCGTGCTGCGGGCTCGGCGCGCAACAGCGCGAACAGCAAGTTCGCGGCGGCTGGCGCGCGCTCGCGACTCGCGAAGCGCGCCTGCACCACGGTGTAGAGCCGCGCGACGCGTTCTTCGCTCGCAAGCGAGCCGGCAAACGCCTTCGAGGGCTTCTCGCGCAGGCCCGCGAGGTGCTTCTGCAGCGCGGCCGTCCAGGCGGCGGCCTCGCGCGGCTCGCCTGCGGCCGGCTCGCCGCGCGCGGCGTGCGCCTGCAGCAATTGCGTCGCGCTGAGCGCGAGGAACTGATCGCTGTCCTCGAACAACGGCGAGCCGACGTAGGTCGTGTGGAACAGACACGCCTGCAGCAGCTCGTCGTCGAGCAGGCGCACGTCGCTGAAAAGCCGGTGCGCGGCCGCAAGCTCCGCGGAGAACGGGCCGCTTGCGAGTTCTGCGGCCGCGCCCGCGACGTCTGGCGCGAGCAGTAGCACGCAGCGCAGCAACAGCCGCTCGTAGACGACAAGCCGCGCGGGGTCTACCTCCGGCGGCAGCGGCGCGTCCGACGCCACGCAGCTCTGCAGCGCGACGCTCGGCGGCGACTCCGCGCTCGCGAGCAGCGCGCTTCCGTGCAGCGGGCCGGGCGGAGGGGGAGGAAAGAGGGAAAGCCGGTCCGCGAACTTCGGCGCGAGCCGCGCGTCGAGCAGCAGCAGCCCTTCCAGCGCGAAGTCTCCGACGGGCTTGAGAAAGCCCAGCGCGTGCAGGTAGAGCGTGAGACAGTGCACCATTGCTGGCAGCAGCACCGAGTCCGTGCCGCCGAGCGCCGCGGCAGCGAGCGCCTGCACGCGCTGCAGGCCCTCTTTGCTGAGGTGCGCCGCGCGCAACTTCGGCAACGCGGGCACGAAGCTCTGCTCGCTCGCACGGTGCTCGAAGAAGAGCGACAAGTCGCTCGCGTGCTCAATCGCGCGGCCGCCGCGGAAGACGACGCGGCGGGCCGCGAGCGCCGGGTGCGTCGCGCTCGCGACCAGCCCGAGCGTCATCAGCTTCTGCGGCAGCAGCGCTGCGTGCAGCGCGTCCGCGACCGCGGGGCCGACCAACGCCGTGTCCGAGTCCTGCCACACGCCAGTCGCGAGACAGCGCATCACGCGCGGGCTCAAGCGGCCCGTGTTCTGCAGCGTGTACAGCGCCTCACTGAGCGGGTGCCCGAACACCTTCGCGAAGTCGGCCGCCGGCAGCGGTCCGAAGTGGTTCAACACCGCGAGCGATCCGTCGCAGTTCAGCACAGGGTGCACGCGCGCGTAGACCTGCAGACAGCGCGCGGCCTCGGAGAAGTACTCGACGAGCTGCGGCGGGTACAGCGTCTGCATCAGCGCGAAGAACTCGTCCGGCGCGAGCGACTTGAACAGCATGCTCGCCGTGACCATAATCAGGTTGAAGTCCGGGCTCTCCGCGAGCGCGTTCGAGACCGAAAAAGAAGTGCCGCAGATCGCGGCCACCGCCGGCAGACAGTCGACCGCGAGCCCCAGCGTCGCCTCCACCTGCGCCGCGGTCAGTGTGCGCACGCCGTCCGCGCGCAGCGCAACCAGCACCGCCGGCATGCCGAAGAGCACGAACTCTGCCGGGCCGAACACGTAGTGCACCACGCCGATGCTCAGCAGGTAGAACAACTGGCTGTGCGCGGCGTACGGCGCGAGCAGCTGCAGCACGCGCCGGCGCTCGAGCAGCGCGCGCAGCTGCTCCAGCAGAACGTCAACCTCTGCGCCCACCGTTTGCTGCAGCGCGACCCGCTCCGCGCGCTGATCGTTGAGCTCCTCCAGCTGCTTCGCGACCAGCGCCGGCACGCAGCGGTGAAACGTGCTGAGCTCTGCGGGCACGATGCCGTCAAACACGAAGAACGGCACTATGCTCCTGCTGCTCAGCTCCGCTAGAAAGCGGTCCAGCGCGCCCTCCAGCGCACCGACCTCGCGCCGGAACAGGTGCGCGTACAGCTCGTACTCCGCGAACGCCTCCACCCAGTAGGTCGCGTAGACGCCGACCACGCTGTTCC